TCTTTTAATTTTGAAAAATTGGTCCCCTGTTGATTTTTTAGCAATTAATCTTTATATTATCCATTTTATTGAATACTATTATGTACATTGCAATCAAAGTATATTTCTTGTAAGTTTATCTAACATATATCTTTTGTTACTTACCATAGAGTCTATTTTAAAGTTTACGGTATCATTTGATATTTCATAACGTGGGAAATTTTTTTTTTCTTTTATTATAATAGGAGTAACTTGAATTATATTGAGAGTCCAGTAGACAATTTAAGCAATTGAAGATGTGAAGAAAGGGTTTATAGTTTGTCTAAAACCAAGGTAGTGTTGCAAAAGATTAGAAGATTCAGTTGCTTGTCTCTTGTTCTTTTAAATAAGCTTGTTCTAATAATAGTTTTTGCTTGGCCTTGACTCAATTCAATGCTGCCGGTTGGGTGTCTAAGACCATAAATTTTTGTAATATTTTACAATCCTTCTTCAAAATAAGCTTGTTTACTTAAGTTTCTTTCCTATTTATTTATTTTTAAAATTTTGTTTTTGTGGGCTCCCTTTTGTTTCAGACTCCTGTTTTTGTTTAGCCCGTGGAGTTTTATTTTGCAGAATCGTTTCTCTTTAAAAAAATGTCTGATATTTTCTATATTTTTAGAACATTTTTAAAGGTCAAAGTGACTGAGTTTCAGATCCTGGACGTTTTTATTTGAGTTGGAAGCTTAGATGGTTGTGTGAAGTGAGATATATAGTACAGTCAAGTGCTCACCCTACCAAATCAATTAAATGATAGAAAAATAAGTACTAAGGGGTAAGTTAGAAGTAAATTCAATGAATCATAGATTTAAGAGGTTTATATATGCTGAATGCTTTAAGCTCAGTACCTGGGTGAAGTGAAATTCTAGTGACAGAAAGCCCCACCATACAATAGCAATCAAATATCTTGATTCAATCTGGAGTTGAATGAATTAATGCCTTCAATAGTTAGCATATTATTTACATGGTAAACAAGAGAGGTTCATCATATGGTTGTAATTTTGTTTATCTAATGGATATCTTACTTCATTTGTTAAGGCCAAAATGCGGAGCTCATCTTGGTGGATTCGATTTTTTGTCCAAACAAGCTTAGAAGAGAATGAAGCCGCTGTCAAGAAATTTGACCAAGCAGCATCCAAGCAGTCTTACAAGCCAGGCTGCCAAGTTTTCCATCTCAATTCATACCATTGATATCAGATCATAAGATACGAAACATCATTTTCTTACCCTCGTTTTTGTCTCCTTTTCTTTTGTCACTCTTATGTTATAAGCAAACATAAGAGAAGCTGGGGAGGTGGAGAATCAGCAATTGATGTACGCTTTTTTCATTTTTGGGTGGTGGGTTGGGGGAATGTTATTGCAACCACAGGAGATTTTAATCTTCTCAAGTTCTTACGATATATTAATTATTTTTATTTAATGAGATAAATACAACTGATCTTCATATCGTTTCAGTTCTTGGCTCTTTTTGTATATTCTTTGCCTATAATAACTCATACTTCCCCCTTGATCGAACTCAGAAACTTCAACAAGCATTTAATTGACCTATCCTGCCGACATGTCCAGTAATGTAATAGTTTATCCTTTATCTTCTGAACTTTTGACGGTTTTTTCAATCCGATGTTTTATTAGTACAAATGTGGGCTGTGATTGTCAATGTTATTCTCAACTTCTAGCACCAGCCATGAATACAGTTACAAGTGTACCTTTGAGTCTTTGACACAATAGCATTCCTCTGATCCCATGCATTTATGAAATTTTCTTGGTACAAACAATTGTGTGTTAGTAATTCAACGGTAATGTCTATTAGAGCAACATTTAGTTTCTAGGCGTTCAACTGTGCTCACAGACTCTGCATCAGAGTCTGTGAGCGGTTTCGACTTTTTGAGATTCTATGCCATTTTTGAACCTTTGTAGAGATGAAATGCTTCCATATCAAGTTTATGGGATAATTTTGTAGTGCTGCATATGACAGATCGAGTATATGGGAAAAGATATTACAAATTTGCTCTGATTTCAGAATCACTGATAATGTAGTTATAATTATCTCTCTTTTCCTTTCTTTTTGTTAAGGATCCTGTCATGCTTATGCTCAACAGGCTTGAATATCATGCAAGAGATGGCCGGGCCACCTACACAGCCCTGTAAGAAAGAAAAGCAATCAGCGGGAAATTTTAAATTTCAAAAAACAGAGGCCCAGGAAGCGATTGAAGATACTTGTTTGATATGATAGAGAAGAACGGCAAAGCCACTCGTATCCCTGCCAAATTGATGGTCAAAGCCTAACTTTGTGAGATTTTCTTCGAAGGTTAGTAATTAATTATTATGATCAGTATCATCAATGGGATTATTAGTTGATACCGACTTTCGAAAACATATAAATCATTTGAATTTTATTGATTGCTATATTAATTTCATTTAGAAATTCCCAATTCCATATATCATGTCTGACACATCATTTTCTTGTTTTTAATGTTTAACACTCCCAAAGTCCCAACATGATATAATTCCTAGGCAAATTCTGTCCAAGGAAAGGTGAATAGTCAGCTGGTACTGTTCAGGTTGTAAAGAAATATATTTGTAAACAGCAGTTGGGTTCTTTACAACCAGTACTGCCAACTTTAACATAGCAGTACCATTATCATCATTATTACCATTATTGTTTGATATATGTCAATGTCCAACGCAACTAATCTCTTGAGACATGTACTGTTTAACTCTATAATATTTGGTTGTCGATAATCCCATAAGATTTTAAATGACTACTATGATATTCGAACCTATTCTCCTAATGTTGTTTAGTTTTCTTTCACATGACGTTGTTTAGTTTTCTTCACATGCATTAGATCAGTAGAGCAATGCATGATGGTTGACACGGGTATAATTAAAAACATGGAAATTGGTTTTACCAGAAAGATGGGTCCTGATCTCTCTGGGTCAGGTCCTTGAATGTTTTGTGAAATGCTGGTTCATATGTCTATCTGGCCCATTTCAGCTCTTGGTGTTTCCCATTTGGGAACCCATCATCAAATCATTATTAATTTTCCAGATTACAAAAAATGGGTATTCATCTCAGTAAAACCCAGCTGGCTGTGGGTCAACCCAACTTCCTTCATGGGCCTTCCAATCACACCCACATAAAACACACACAGCCAAACCAAAAATATGGGCTAGCTTCATATTTGAATCACACACACCATGTTCTCAAAATCATTATTCTTGAGAGATTTTGGTTCTCATTTCTGAAGTTTCCAACCCTAAATCCACATGCATATACTTGCAACATCCATTCTAATTAGTTTGCTGGAAATTTGAGCAATGGGTTCATCATGTTAATGTTAATTCATATGCTGAAGAAATCCATGCATCAAGAAACCAAAACTTAGAATTTAGAATATGTGTAGAGGGAATGGTATGCTGTAGTCATTTTCATGTGCTGAATTTGGGACATGACAGCGTAGCCTCTAATTATATGTGGACCTTAGATCTTTTTCCCTAGCTGAGCAAATAGCTATAACATGTCTGTCTAAATAGCCGTGGCCATCTCCAATTTGCAGGCACGTGACACCAGTCACACACTGTTGAGGCCCCAAGGCGCCAAACTCCAAACTCACCCACCGCCCACTGTTTGATAAACCAGTGGCATGCAATGTGGTGGCACCAACCCCAAAGTTTAAAACTTCATTTCATGTAGTAGTTTTATTCCAAAAGAACCTAACTTTTTCATTTATTTTTTGAGTTGGGTAAATGGAAGAGCCAAAACCACTAAAAGGGTTTTTTGGAGTTAGGTAGCAGAAGAGAAACAGCTGGATTTTGGAGCCGAGTGTGGAACAAATTAAATGGTCCCTCTGTATTGTCCTAAAGGAGCAGCACTGTTAAATTGTAGAGGTGGGGGATGGTGATTTTGGTTTTCCAAGCAAGCAAGCAAGAGATTTTTTTTTTTAATTTTGTTTCTAAAAATGTTATTTTTCTTGTGGGTGTGAGAGGACAAGGGCAGAATAGCTCCATGCTGAGTGTCATCAAAGGTTAGCGGCTAAGACCCACTAGCATATAATCTGGTTTGCGACAACATCCTGGTCTACACCATTTCATTGCTCCTTTCAAATTAATAAAATACTTGAAAAAAAAAACACCTCTTTTCTCTGTTGGCTCCTCCAATTGTAATAGATCTACCAAAATTTAGTCAATTCCGATCATTGAATGTCTGGATGTCTTGTATTTTCTCTTGCTTTCGGGGTCAAGCAAGTCCTTTCCATATTTTGACAAGTATTTCCCCCCTATACTATTACATTGAGGGAGAGACAGAAATGGTTGGTTCCTCAAATTCTTCATAGATTTCTGGTAATAAGAGGATGCCTAATTATAATCAGTTGAAAGATTAGTGAAGTACATGAAGCATA